GAGAGAGAGAAAAAGAGAGAGAAAGAGAGATAGAGAGGGAAGGTGCGACCGTAAGCGAAGAGAGATAGCCACGTATAGCCGCGGGCCAGACAGATGACCGGATACGGAGAGCGAGCGATTCAGCCGGTGACGATGAGACTGACTGATGACGATGACAGACGTCCGTGATTGATTCCACGCCCCGAGGGCAGTACGAGTTTATTACACGACAGCAGGACAGCAGGAGCGGACAGTGTGGAAGGCATGACAGCATGACTGCCGCAGTATTAGTATAGTAGTAGTAGAGAGAGGGAGAGGGGGCAGGACATCAAGGAGAGCAGCGAGACATGGTAATCACTCTCCTCTCTCGCTTTCTCCCCCTCTCACACACACGCCCTCTCTCTCTCTCTCTCTCTTCTCTTTCTCTCTCTCTCTCTCTCCTGGCTCTCTCTCTCTCTCTCTCCTCTTCTCCTCTCCTCTCTCATTATGCAGAGCGCGCTGCCAGTGTGATTATTATATGTTGGCCAGCAGCAGCTTAGCAGCCGACCTCGTGAGGAAGGAGGAAGTAGGAGGAGGGGGCGGAGTGATGCGTCCAGGGATGCTGTTAAGTTGCGCCGAGCGCAGCACGCCATCTTCCGTCGCCCTGGTTACGGCGCGCGCCGCTGCGTTGTGTCGTCCCCTGGTGCGTTGTCATTTTAAGATCGAAAGATGAAGGGGGCCTAGATATGAGGGAGATGATGATGATGATGATGAGTGATGCATGAATGACGATGATGATGATGATGAGATGATCAATCACACACGGCGCTTGATTGGTTACTATGCGCGCACGCCGCAGCACGCCGCGACTCAAGCCGCATGTACACCCCTCACTAACGCTTGTACGAACGTATAGTTACACACAGCACACACACACACACACACACACACCGCACTAACGCACTCATCAATCACCACAACATCACACCACTTCACATCACATACTACATTTCGTGGAAGTTTGCGTTTGCACCACGCAACGCGCACGCACGCACGCACAGCACCGCATCACCTTGCGTGCTCGGCTGCAAGCACGAGGGTTGATTAGACAGACTAACGGCACTCGTGGGGAATATCTATATTGGCATCAAGCAAAGCGCGAATAATGGCTCATTAAGGGTCTATATGTTCGCACAAGAGTTATCGGCCGAACGTACCTCTGGTTAACGGTTCGGTATACTGGAACGTACTTTGGTAACTCTCTGATATGTTAGGGTTAGGATAGGTTTAGGGCATAGGGTTAGGGATGTAGGCCGTAGGCGACTCCGTAAGACCGTTCAGTGGAGTAGATCGAGGTTACGGTCCGGTATATTAGATAGACCCAGGGTATTCGTTCTGGCATGTAACCCTGTGGTACAAGACCCACTCAGCGTAACTATTTGATCGGTTAGGGTTTATGGGTTATGGTTAGGGAGTAGGTCGTAGGCGACTCCCTATCGTACTCGTTAGTGGAGTAAGTCGAGTACTCGGTCCGGCAGTATAATATAGTACCAGGGTACGTTTCCGGTATCGGACCGTACCAGTGGTAAAGCGTTTCCCGGCATACCCAGGGAGACATAGACCCTCTCAGCGTAAACTACCTGTATCAGTACTCTGTGCTCGCTGTGTCCCGCTGTTGTTGACCTTCCCGGGAGGAGCGGGGAAACTCTTGTGGCGGAGGGAAGATGAAAAGCGCGTGTAAAAAGATAGGGGTCGAGAGAGAAGGGTGAGAGAGAGAGACGGAGAGAAAGAGAAGGAGAGAAGAGAGAAGAGAGAGAGAGAGAGAGAGAGAAGAGAGAGAGAGAGAGAAGAGAGAGAGAGAGAGAGAGAGAGTAGGAGAGAGAGAGAGAGATGGGAAGGTGAGGGAGGAGGGAGGGAGGAGGGGGAGGGAGGTGAGGTGAGGGAGGGAGGGAGGGAGGGAGGGAGGGAGGTAAGGGAGGGAGGGAGGTAGGGAGAGAGAGAGAGAGTAGAGAGAAGAGAGAAGAGGAGAGATGAGAGAGAGAGAGAGATGAGAGAGAGAGAGAAGAGAAACAGAGAGAGAGAAGAGAGAGAGAGAGAGAGAGAGGAGAGAGAGAGAGAGGAGAAGAGAGGTGAGAGAGAGAGAGAGAGACGAGAGCGAGGCGATTTGCGTACGAGGGACAGCGACGCACGACAGAAGGAAGGAGCAGAGAGAGAGTATGTTATCGTGAGAGAGATAGAGAGATCTGAAGAGACTGATGTGAGGCGGTAGAGAAGGTGATCAGTGGGGAAGGAAGGTAACTATATTATAGGAACCTGTCCTGCCAATTGCGAAAATAATGAGAAATTCCAGAGTGTAAAATGAGACTCAGAGTAATTTATATTATTCGCACACTGTACACGTCGAGTGAGAGAGGTCGCGTGATCACATGCGGGCAGTGCATGTCCGTTATCACACGCGGTGCGTTGCGTGCGTGTGTGTGTGCGTGCGTTGTGTGGGCCGGTGCGTGCGTGCGTGTGTGCGTGCGTTGTGTGCCGCCCGATTTCGAGCGAGAGAGAGAAGGCGATAGCGAAGTAATATCAGGCGAACAGTAAGGCAACAGTAGGGAACAGTAGGGAACAGTTACGGTGAACAGTAAGTCGTCAGGTACACGCCATTTGCGGTGTGTTTTGTGTCCGCATGTTTGCAAGGCGGATGTTTATGCGGCTAGGTTCGTGATATATATATACCTGCAACATATAGGTGTACCTGCTAGGTTCACTCGCATAAACCGTGCACAATTGGGCTAGTGAATCGATTGCTTAAGAGAAGGTACAGACCTCGGTGAGAGAGGGGAGGAGGCGTAGATAGGAGACGAGAGAGAAGGGGGAGAGAGAGAGAGGAAGTGAGAGAGTAGAGAGAGAGAGAGAGAGAGAGATGAGAGAAGAGAGAAGAGAGCGGCGAGGAGGCGAGAGAGACGAGAAAGGAGGGGGGAGTGACCTGACACGCCTGAAAAAGAATGGGCCGCGCCGATGACTCAACTCACACCATACCAGCACCAATCATCTCATCATCACAGCAGGCAGCCAGCAGCAGCAGTAGTAGTGCGCAGCAGCACTAGTATCATCAGCAGCAGCAGCAGCAGCAGCACCACACACCACCAGCAGCAGGCATGCAGCAGCAGCAGCAGCAGCAGGCAGTAGCAGCAGACAGCCAGCAATAGGCAGCAGCCAAGCGGCAGCAGCGCAGCAGCAGCAGCAGCAGCAGCAGTCAGAGCGGCGGGCGACACAGAGCAGACGAACGCGGATGATTGGAGATTGTTTTAGCGGCCGCGAGCGGGCAACGGAACATGCAATCACTCACAATGTCAAGTCAACATGCTCTCATCTCGAGAGGAGGAGCAGAGCAGGCGAGCGATGAGAGAGAGAGAGGAGGGAGAGCGAGAGAGATAGAGAGAGAGAGAGGGGGGGGAATATGAGGTGAGAGAGCCGAGAAGACAGGCAGAGAAGAGGAGAGAGAGAGAGAGGCGATGAGAGAGAGAGTAGAGAGAGGAGGGAGAGCGAGCAGAGATAGAGAAGAGGAGTGAGGGGGGTAGAGGCGTGAGAGAGCAGAGACAGAAGAGAGAGAGGGAGAGAGAGAGATGACGCGAGAGAGAGAGGAGGGAGTAAGGAGAAAGAGAGCAGATAGAGAAAGATAGAAAGAGAGACCAGTACTTTAGCATAGCTAAAATGAGAGAGAGATAGAGAGAGAGACAGCGGACGCGCGATCAGATCTAGACTGGCGCCACGTCTCCCTGGGCGTTTTACGCGCGCCGTCAAACGAGGCGTCCGAAGGAAGGCTCCCCAATCGCTCGGTCTCCTTCTCGGAAGAATCGTCGGCGGAGGCGGCGCCGACCCGCACCCATGCTCTTCGCGATTCTCGTTGCCGCGGCGATGACCGTCTGCATCTCGCTCTTTCAGGACAATAGGCGCAGGATGCCGAGTCAGGCGGTGACGACGCGGCACCACCAGGCGGCGCTGCGTGACTCGCCGTCGCCCGACAACAGCGACAGCGGCTACAGCGGCCGTCGGTCGCCAAAGTCGCTCGACGCCGACGACGGTGGCGCCCCCAACGGCTACGCGAAGATGGCGCCGCCGGCGGTCGCCAACGGCGACGTCATCCGTCTCGGCGACATCGTGCTGACGGAGCGCGTCGTCGCCACGGCGACGACGGAGGCTGAGGAGAACGGAGGAGGAGGTGGAGGAGGAGGAGGAGGTTTGGATTCTCCGGCGCGGTCGTCGTCGCCGGACGATGCGGCGGCGGCGACGGCGGAGGACGCGTGGCGCCCCCCGGCGGCGACGGCAACGACGGAGGACGCGTGGCG